GCCATCCCAGCCTGAAGAAATGGAATCGAGGACCGTAACGCAAAGGCAAGGGCCCTTATCGGCAGACTGAAAAGCTTCAGGTCGGGTAATAATAGACCGAGAGTTGTGCGCACCGTTAGAGTGGCGTTTGCTGGGACAAATATTAGTTTGTCCCAGCCGGATATCACGCAGAAACTAACGGAGCACATAGATGACCTGAAGCAAAAAATCGCTGCTTGGGGGAAGCGGAAGATTCGGTCTTGCAACAGTCGACTTTTGTCAGCGTAACTGAGGGCCGTATCACTGACACTGTCTTATTTTGGCGTGGCCTATGGTCATAGCCCGTAAACCACAGCGAAGGCCCTTGGATGGAAGTTGTGGTGAGCCAGAGTGCAAGTGTTACGCCTATGGACCCCGTCACCATAACGCCTGAAGTCGTCCGTAGGGCCCCGAACTGAAAAAGTGTGTCACGCTGTGCTCGCCCGACAGTTTCAAGAGGCTCTCGATCAGAAGTCGCTCCCGAGCTTCTTCACTACTGGGATCACTCACTTGGTTCCTAAAGATCAGGATACCACAGACCCGAGCAAATACCGCCCCATCACGTGTCTACCCACCATATATAAAACACTGACATCCATTTTGAGCGCGAGAATCACTCGTCACCTGGAGCTAAACCAGGTGATGTCACACACTCAAAATGGATGTCTGGGCGGTGGTTGTGGAACCAAGGAGCCACTCCTTATTGACGCGGTCAATGGCAAAGTGGTGAAACGCAATCGTCGGAACTGCTCCACCGCCTGGATAGACTACAGAAAGGCATTCGACTCGGTTCCCCATACTTGGCTAAAGAGGGTCCTCGAGCTGTACAAGATTGACTGTACAATTAGAGACTTCCTCGAGCAATGTATGGGGCAGTGGAGTACGATCCTTTGTCATCTGGCTGAGCGGATGATGGCTGCAGAGAACCACATAAGGATAAGAAGGGGCATCTTCCAGGGCGATTGACTGAGTCTAATCTGGTTCTGCCTCTTTCTGAACCCTTTCAGTATTTCACTAGAGGGCTCCGGGAGGAGATTTCAGCTTCGGAAAGGAGTTACAAAAGTGACTCACCTTTTCTATATTAATGACCTCAAGTTATTCGCCTCCAGTCGCTCCCATCTTATGAAATTGCTAAACATCACTTGCGAATTTAGCAATTCTATTGGAAAGGAGCTGGGGACGGATAAGTGTGCGGTCCTCTATGTAGAAAAGGAAAGGGTTGCTAACTCCGGAGGGCATAGACTGATCTATGCCCGTCAACTTAAGGACCCTTTCGAGACTGAAGCATACCGATACCTGGGTATCGGTATGCTTCAGTCTGGGACCTGATTCACGATTTGATTGACATGTGGGGTGGTCTGCCGGCCGAAATTATTCCTGTAGTCGTCTCTGCGGATGGGCTAATCCCAGTCAGCCTCTCGGGTCATCTGCTTTTTTTAGAATTTGCCACGTTTGTAAAGGAGCCCACCATTCGGCAACTATTGCCATTTTAATTTTAATTGCATTTTGTTCCGTATGTAATTTACTTATTAATCTTTCATATTTAAGAGCGTCATCATTATCTAAGTTACCTGTGATAGTTTTTATCAAAGAGCCAATCGGATTGAGGAGACCTCTTTTGATTCGTAATGAAGGAATTAATTGCTTAAATTTGCCGATGGTTACATTCAAATTATAATCAGTTTGATATTGAACGGTTATAATATCTGAATCAAATGACTTAATATCGAAACAATTTTGAACATGGTTTTTAAGCAACCCGTATCTATGCATACTTGACTCTAATTCCTCGTAAATTAAATTTAAATCTAATATCTTAATAACTATCCAATTATCATAATTAACAAATGCTTGACCTTCGTCCACTGGTAACAATCCCGGGTTCTTGTCAATGCGAAGCAGATGAAGGGCCTGGATTCCCATTATTCGGATCACCAGTGAAAATAATCTGTGAAGGACGTTTAATGTGTTTAATAGGAACATTTTTGATACGTTTATTAGTTTCAACGGGAACTACATTTCTTTAAACGCAACGCGGTAACGCGGTTTATCCTTACCCCGTCTTGTATTTTATTATATTAACACCTTTTATGATCACAGTATCACCTACATCTATATCGAACTGAGATTTACCTGCGTGTGACAGAATTTTACTGTAATTTTTTGTCAATTAACTTATTTGTAATATGTTCATACAAATATTTGGTCCTTTTGGCATGTTTTCTTACTAACTGTTGTGTGAACTGCTTATCAAAATCTACGGCAAATGTACTATTGGATTCGGTGTGCCCAAATACTACTTAAAACGGCGTGAGATCTGTTGAAGAATGAATTGAATGGTTGTATGACATAACAGCATATGTCATCACTGATGCAGCGTCTGTAATTTTGTGTTCATACTTCGCGATACGGTAAATTTCAGTAATAGTTGAATGGAACCTTTCGATAAGTCCCATAGAGTTGGGGTTGTGCACGGTACCAATGTGTAGATTGATTTTGTATAATGTAAGCATTTCCTTTAAAAGTACATTGTTAAATTCCACACCGGAATCTGAACTAATTTTGGATGGAATTCCGTAAAATGAAAAATACTTTATTAAAGCTCTTATTACTTCCGGGGTAGACCTACTATTAATTTCGATTGCTTGATTCAATTTGCTGAACACGTCTACCAAGGTTAGAAAATATTTACCTTCTATTAAAAATGTATCGATGAAAATTTTTGGAATGGTTTAGACTGGATTTGAGTCAGTTGAAGTTGAGGTTTTAGGGGTTTACGGTCGTACTTCATTTTTTTACAAACCTCACATGTGTTTATGATACTCGCTACTGTTTGTTCCATATTATTCCAATAAAACGTTTGCCTCAAATGTACTAATATTTCCCTCATTCCCCTATGGCAGTTTTTACCTAAATGATATTTAAGGACTACTTCGCGTTGCTCGTTTTCATCTTCTACATGTGACTATTCTCTTAGTACATTCATAAAATTTTACAGTACCCTTTTTTAATGTTTGCATTGTGACTTCGGAAAACTGCTTACGGTGTATGACATCTTCAAAATAATAATAAAAATAAAAAGACGTGTGGCACTCGGGGACTGCCGCGGTAAAGCTATTGCATAGCATTTTGTATCAACTTATGCAATTATAATTATTTATTTATTTTATTTATGCAGTATTTCTTTTTCTTTGATATTAATTCAAGTTACTTATGTTAATCCAATCAAATTCAACCAGATTTAACCGAACCCGCGTTATAACGAACTCTTTATTTGTGAAAAATACTGTATCATCGGACCGCGTCGCAAAAAACTCAGGTTCGCGCAGTACATACGTCAGGGCGGCCGTACGGCAATTATATTAACAAGACGCGCCGTATCTAATTTGATGATTAACCTAAGTAACTTGAACTACTCAGTTCCACGCTCCACGGCAAGATTTGTCACTTATTATTTATTGTCCAATTAATTGTCTTTAAGTTCAAATGGCACGCTCTATTAACATAAGTCTAAGACAAAACAAGGAGACTTTCAATATATGAACAACCCGGCTTCGCGTTTGTGTTAGTAAAATAAGCTCTTATTAAGTTAGCTTAGAGTTTAAATTAGTGTAAGCTATACGCAATCCTTGTGGCATAACGAATGTAGGTAGTATTTTATTGAATCCAATTGTCTCGGCTGACGCGACGGTTGGACCGTAAACGTAAACAGATGACGCTTTTTAACGATAATGAATATAATATTATAACAGTCAATGGTTCATTATTCTAATGTGTTGTAAGATTAAAAATATATAATGAAATATATTATCTGTTGTATATTATAACGCCCAACTTTAGGGGTGACCGACCGCGCGCACAAATGCAGCTAGCCTCCCCCTCCCGCACCTCACTAATCGTCGCTTCACACCGCTTGAGATAAGACGATCTACTATCAGGCGCTAACAAACCCCCGTCCCGGACATAAGGACCTATGTCCGCGAGTAAATTGGCAATTAGAAGACGCTTTGTATTGTTGGTTTTTACAAAAACGATCAACTGGGCAAATGAAATCTGGCTCTTTGCTTTGTGAAAAAGCATTACAGTTAAATAAAAAACCAAGTAGCCAGTGAGGGGAGATTGCTGTGTCTACAAAAGGATAATTTAGAACCTTGTAGAACCTCCCGTGGAAAACCTTCTCCTTCCATACGGTCTTCCGGTCAGAAATGCTCTGCACTGCCGGGTCTTGCCATTGCTCGTTGGCTAAGGATAGAGGGGTAAGTCCTTTATCACAAGAAATGACGTCCTTATAGAATGGATCATCCGATCTCGCCAGGAAGTAATCGCGGAGGCTGCACACTTCGCGATTATGCATGGTGAGCGTGCTCAGGAAGCCACGCCCACCCTGCTTTCGCGGCAAGTACAGACTCATTACCGACGATCTCGGATGATGCATCCTATGGGACGTCATGGTAGTGTGGACTTTTCTATCCAGGGCCTTAAGTTCAGTCTGAGTCCACCTGAGTATCCCTACAGACTGCCTCAGCTACGTCATCCGGTGTTACAATGACGGGGTCCATGGGCGTTATACTCGCACACTGACACGCCACAACTTCCGTCCAAGGGCCCGTCGCTGTGGTTTACGAGCTCTGACCACAGGATGCGCCAAAATGCTACAGTGTCGGCCTGACTCGGGCCCACACCTTCTCAATATCAAGCCTCTTCTACCCGAAATTTCGCTATATTGCCGAATCCGCTGTCCCGAAGCAGCGATTTTCTGCTTTAGATCATCTATGCGCTCCGTCAGTTTTTGTATTATATCCGGCTGGGACAAACTGACATTTGTTTCAGCAAACGCCATCCTGACGGTGCGCACAATTCTTGGCCTGTTATTGCCTGATCTGAAGCATATCAGTCTGCCGATGAGAGCTCTAGTCTTTGCGATACGTTTCTCTATTCTACTTCTCCATGCTGGGATAGCGCTACTTTGGCCAGTAGCGCGTTCAGCCGTGGAAACATTGGCACCTATGATACGGCAGACTTCCAGCGCGGCGCCAAAAAGAATTGAGTACATCTCGCAAATGTCCCGGCTGGCTTCCAAATAGGTCACCAGCATTGGGTTCAGAGCCCTCACGACAGCCCGATTCCGCTTGCTTAGGGCTATGCAGGGAAGTCACGGTCAATTTTCGAGAGGAGTACTGCGCGTTTCCACAATCGCCTCTTCCAATGTACTCCTCATATGCTCTAATTCCAGTTCCTGGGCGTTCTGTTCCATCATCGTTTGAATCAACCACAACTGGGGTATTCACGGCGGCATCCACGTTTGCGTGTTGCTCCACGATGTAGCCGTTCGAGTTCGGCGACATTAAAATATTTTTGAGCGCAAGATATACCGTACTCGGTCCGCCAGGTTTTGCTCTGTGACGGTTAAAGATGGCTCCAGCTCAGCAAAAAGACGATGCATCCTAGCCCGATACGCGAAACATCCAGTTTCTTCCCCTTTTCCCCTAAAGTACGCCTGCAGTGCGTTTGCGTTCATTGCTTGTGACCAACGCATGCTACGTGCTCCACTAGTGGCGGGTGCCGATTTCTGATTCCGAGAAGACCCAGCCGACACCAAGCCTTCTGGTGTGGATGATGGATGCGGAGGGCTGCTAGGTGATCGTGCAGCTTCTCGCGCTCGGCTGGCGGCTCGCATGCTTCCGCGTTCAGCGCCAGCTCCAGACAAGCCCCGGTGACCCCTAGGCATCCATTATTTGGGCGTCCATTAACGGGAGACGCCCACGCCCGGCACCGTATCGTGTGTGGCCATAAGCACAAACAGGCCTTTGCACCCTAAATTCTGCCGAGGCACGGCGCTCACACCTCTTGCAAGGCGCTGACTGACTGCGTTGACGTAGCAGTTTTGTCACTTAACTGTTACGTCAGCGGGCGATGGGGTCGTCAATTCCCTACGCCAATATTTATATTATTATTCAATATAGTTTTTTCATTTGGTTGGGTACGGCCGCGGGTTAGGGGGAAAGGGAAAGAAACCGGCGGACGATGCGGGTGGTATCGAGGAGCACCACCTTCTGCATTTGAGCCTAGAGCGGTCTGCCACGTAGTCCCAGCCGCCTCAGATGACCCCGAGAGGCTGACTGGGATTAGCCCATTTGCAGAGACGACTACAGGAATAATTTCGGTCGGCAGAACAACTCACATATCGGTCACCTCGTGAGCCAGGTCCAGATATTTTGTTCGTTTATCTGTTTCGGCTTTCACGAGGTTCTCGTCATACGGAATGGTAATGTCGACCAAAATGTGCCCGGTATCAGGCTTATTCGCAAGAATAGTACTGTCAGTGATGATGGCCCGGTCCCAATGGAGCCCGGCGCGGTCATTTTCGCGCACGGCTTCCGGCAAGTACTTGTAATATGGCAATTTCCGATCCACGAGACCGTATTTTAGAGCAAGCTCCTGGTGAAGAATTCTGGTATTGTTATTATTATTATTATTAACAAAAGATACCTATGTAACAAAATGAAAAAGAGCTGCCATTACTACCAAAAAACTAGCTAAAAGCAGGTTTTGATTTTAAATATGGTGGATTTTGAAACTTACTAAGTGTTATGGGGGCATTTGCAACTGAGCTTTGTGAAATAGCGGGATTTGGAACTTATGTCATTCTATGGTGATGGTCAATGTTATGCAACAACAACTGGTCAGTAAGTAAATAAAAATGCAGAAGAGCAATTTTACATAATAGTATAATTTGAAAATAAACTAGTTAGTTGTTCTACATTGGAAATCAGGTAAACACAAAAAGTTAAAAAATACTATTAGGTTGATATCATCAAAGCCGTCTTTACAAAGGTCGCTTGGTATCTCTGCTGTATCCTCGTCAATATCTCTTTGCTCATAAGACCTTCGGCCTTTCACTGTTTTATAAAGCTCTAATGTTTTAATGTCTCTCCATTGCCTTCTATAATGTTTTTTTTTAAATAGATTTGAAACATCGGTGATCTTTGCTTTCTTTGGAATCAATTGGTTTGCTGGAATAACAACTGGAGTCAATATAGTGATGCTTTTATTTTTCTTTGTTATCGGCTTCTTTACATTAATTTCAATTTTATATGTCTGTTCTCCTTGTAGCAATAAATTATTTGTTTTGGAACGTGTCAAGAAAAACCTTTTGCACTTTTGGAACTGTACATGCCAGCTAGTCGTTGGTTTGATAATTGGTGCGTAGGCCGATTTCCAATCTAGTACTGCAATTGTATCTAAAGCAGTCATTTTACAATATTGAGTTATGATTTCTTGATATTGTTCAGGTGATGAAATGACTTCACGTTTTTTTAAATCTTTCACTATTTGAGCAAACACGTGGTCGGGTGGAATAAAAGAGTGCCCTACAACAGGAAAAACTATTTCTACCCTTTTTATGTGTCTGGGTGCTTCTGTTATCAACCACTTTCCAAGCATGGCTACCATGCCGGAATTTTTATTTTGCCCAGAACAGCCACCTGCTACTATTCTTATGACTTTGTTTTCTTCTTTAATATCTACATTAGTTAAAAAGTGATGAATTGTTGAAATGATTACATTACTACCTTTGTTGTGTATGGTTTCATTCCAGGTATATGCAAATATGTTTTCCTTGGTCAATTTTGCCTTAGAGCTACCAACTACTATAGTGAAGTTGTAGAAATTATATTGGCGGCTATAGTAGGCGGACTGATCTGGCACTTTAGGTAGGCCGAAATTTTTTTTGACAGTCGAAGCTTATTTTTAGAAGATCACTTCTTTGCTCCTGCAAGATCTCATAGAATGCTTTGAACCTCAAATGGTGGACTCTTTTTTCAATTATTAATTTATTTATGATCTCAGTATTTGTTTCTTTTTTTAATGTTCTCATCTAACAGAAGCCATGTCGAACAAACATCAGACCTAGGTGTGCCAAAACCAATGTTATAACAACAATTAAATATATTTCTAAAAAAATGCTGTTTCATTTCTAAGCAAAGATGGTCGTTGTTATACATACGCCAATGTTTTTTACGTTTATTTCAGGGGGAAGTACAATCTTTTTATATTTTTGACCTGCAGTAGTGGCTTTCATTTGCTTTAAATGACTCCTACCTGTGTGCCAAATTTCGTCCAATTCCATGCATCGATAACGAGCAAACAATCAAACTAACATTCATTTTTCTATACCTAAAATAAGCATACTTATTATTAGTATATTATATAATATTAGTATTACGTTTTTTGAACAGGATTTTTGCAGTTAAAGCGAATAACTTATTATATAACCTTATGATTTTTCGAAAATTAAACAGTATTTTTATATCGCTTGTAACAATCATTAATGTAAATTCCGTCGATTTTATACGAATAGGTATAATTACACACAACACATTCGTACTCGTATAAAATCGGCAGACTGTTAAGGGATAATATAAAGAACAATGTTTTATTTTAGGGAAATTAATATTAGTTCGGTACTCAATTTAGCAAGAAAAAAATTCAAATATGAATTTTTGCGCCAAAGCATAGTGAACTATTTTCATGGTCCTGTTTTGCTTAACAACTTTTCAAATGGTAGTTGACTGTTTAGTAGAAGAAAGAAACCAACCTTTTTCACGCAATAGTTCACGTTTCCACTTTGATTTATCAACTAATCTCTTGCGTGGTACTGGGCTCTGTTTTTTTTATAAACTATTGTAAATCCTCAATTTTTTCCGCACAAAAACAATAAAAAAACCATAGCAACAATACTCACAGGTAACGGAATCGGCCATACTAATTTACTGCGTCACATAATCTAATATTGGACTGCCATTGGTTGGATTTGTTATGGAGGAGTTTGAAACTCACACACTTTAATTTAGAGTAATTTTCACCGAACACTGTAATTAAAATGTATTTTACACCCGCTTATGGCGGAGTTAGATAGGAAATAAATTTACGAATTTGTACTACTCTAAGAGTACTTTCAAATGTCATACTACGCTAAAATTTTAAATAAAAGTGTTTTAGCGGGATTTGAAACTAGACGACTCAAATAATAAAGAACATAAACATCAAATGAATAATATAACTTCTTGTTTTAAATTCTCTTAGTTTTGCTCAATTTAAATTCGGTAATTTTAAGAAAATGCTACACTTAGTTTGTTTCTAAAGACGTCATACGTAGATGAAAAAGTTACAGAAAGTAACATACCGCATGCAGTATGCTGTCATGTTCCACATACATATTTTATTCATCATACAAAGCGCAAATAAAACAAATATTCTCAATGTAAAAATTGCACGCTGCCTGTGTAAAACGGCCAATAAAAATAAATCATTTTTTAGTACCGCTGACATAAAACTGTAAGCTTTTAAACCTTTACAGAATCCTTGCATGAAACTATTACGCGGGAACAAAAATCTATTAAATTACAGGCAATAGCCAATTGAATGGATTTTTTAAATTATATTCTCTTTTTATTGCTCTATATAAATGCTGGTGACAAGTAGTTAAATAATTTGCTACCAAATAATTTCGTAAATATAAACACGATAATTTATAATTTCCACCTCAAATTTAAGTTATAGTTGTTAACTATGAACAATTTGTATTGTGTAATAAATAACAATGGTACCTATATATCTAAATAAGTAAGATTTTAGTGTCTCAAAGTGACAGCAGGTAACGAACATCTTATACCAACAAGTATATAGTTACCGTAATTTTTGTATCCCTTTTAATATTTACGATATATCTTTTAAGTATGCTTGTTTATTTACGGAATACATTTTGAATTATTTTCTTGATAATTTAATTTGAGATCTTTAACTAGAATCTCAAAATTAGATATTTGATTACTCTGTTTCCTGGTTTTTCCATCTATGTTTTCTTTAAATATTTAAAATACATAGTAAAATAAATACTCACAACGCCAAGACGTGCTAGATAGAGAACCAACTTCAGTTTGCGCTCACAGAATTCAATACATTCAAGGACCATTTTAAGATGTTGAAAGTAAAAATAAATAATAAGTATAATTTCTAAAAATTACCAACGATAATGTAATATGGTGAATTTCCCGGAGAACTTGATCGGCAGAAACGGGCCTATCCGTTGACATCTTGATAGCCTGATTTAACTCCTGTGGATTTTTCCGTTTGGGAACGGGCCAAGGAGCTCGTCTACACGCCTGTGGAAATATCAACCAGAGAGGAGTTAATAGAAAGAATCCATACGGCTATTCAAGTTATTAAACAGGAGATGAAAATGAAAATTACGACCACAGATGTAAGAAAACGAGCCCGCGCTTGTGTCAGAACTAAATCGCGGTCAACACTCTGAACACGAAAAATAAATTATTTTAAGAATAATTGTTTCTTATCTGATCTGTTAAAAATTAAAAATATAATTGATCTGCAATTTGCTTTGTAAACCCTAATTCAAAGAGTTGGTGTGACATCTACGTAAGAAATACCTCAAAGGAAAGGGCAATCATTAAGCATGTTTTTAAAAATGTTTGAACAACAAATGCAATTTTTTTTATAATGGCATAAACACAACATTTCCACAACTTTTTATTGGTGGTGTACTTCGCTTAGAAGCCAGTACGAGGCTTTTTTATTTCTTCATGCTATATTGCTACTCCGTTGCCACTTCCGCTTGATCATTCATCATAATCATTTCAGCCCTTCACAAGTCTAATGCTGAACATAGGACTCCTCCAAAAAATGCCACAAAGCACAGTCATTTCCTGCATCTATTGACTTCCTGCATGTTTTACCAGGTCGTTACTCTATCTAGTGGGGGGTTGCCCCACACTTTTTTGTCACCCTTATGGTATTGGTACGAGGCTGCCACTTGAAAACATTTTTCCCCATCGTAGGTACCATAGCGGTAATGCCGAAACAGACCGACTCTTCGACTACGTCCAAATGGCTACAGATTCGTTGCTACAGCAGATCCCCTCCGCAGAGATCGTGATCCTTGACAACTTTTATGCCCATCACGCCGAATGGCTTGGTTCACGTTTAACCGATCATACGGGGAGATCTGTTCATGATTTTGCCTTGGCATATGTTCTGACACAACTGGTTACTTCGCCTACGCGGATTCCAGATATGGAGGATCATGCACCTTCCCTGTTGGACCTTCTGCTGACCTCTCACCCGGACGGATATCAGATTTCCGTCGACGCCCCTTTAGGCTCCTCGGACCATTATTTTGTTCGGAGTAAGTTGCCATTCACGCTGAAATCGCAGTTGCATTCTGCAGGCTGCCGCCATGTTTGGTACTATAGGTCAGCCGATTGGGATGGGATGCAGTATTTCTTTGCATCCTACCCTTCGGGGGCGGGTTTGCTTCTCGCCGGACGATCCCAACATTGTTGTGGATTTTGTCGCTGATGTGGTACTTCAGGACATGGAACTTTTTATTCCTTCCTCTGTGGTGCCCACTGGAGGCAACTCTCAGCCATGGTTTGGTCGCTCCTGTAAAATAGTATCATGCTATAAGCAGGAGTGCTACCAAGCCTGGGCTGACTCATCAGCGTCCCGGGATGTAAACATCAGCGCTTTAAAAAAGAAGTATAATTCCGCCTCTGGGTCCTTCAAAAGACTCATTGCCAAGGCAAAGTCAGAGCACATAGGCAGAATTGGCGAGAAACTAGTTCGCCTTCCTACTGTAACCCGTGCATTCTGGTCTCTCGTCAAGGTGTCCAGGGGAATTTCTGTCAGCCATCTCTTCCATCTCTGCACAGGGAGGACGACTCACTGGCCCATACCGCAAAGGAGAAAGCCGATCTTCTAGGCTCTTTCTTTGCGTCTAACTCGACTCTCGATGACAGGGGGAGTACTCCGCCGACGATCCCGCGGTGTGAGTGCTCCATGCCGGAAGTGCAGTTCAAACAGCGCTCGGTTGGCAAAGCACTCCTCTCCCTGGACATCCACAAGTTGAGTGGGCCTGACGGAATACCCCAATTGTGCTGAGGACGTGTGCCTGGGACACTTGGCACGGTTTTAACGCGTCTTTTCCGGTACTCCTACCTAGGGAGTAGGTGTACTGGAAAAGACGCGTTAAAACCGGTGCGTAGTCTCAAAATCATGGAAGACGGCTTACGTCCACCCGATCCCTAAAAAAGGTGACCGCTCAGACCCGTCCAAATACCGGCCTATGGCCATCACCTCCTTGTTCTCCAAAACAATGGAGTCCATTTTAAACTACCAGCTCATGAGGTACCTTGAGGATCACCAGCTGATTAGTAACCGCCAATACGGTTTTGCCGTGATCGGTCAGCTGGTGATCTACTGGTCTACCTAACTCACAGATAGGCGGAGGCAGTAGAGTCCAAGGGGGAGGCATTGGCCGTTAGTTTGGACATTGCGAAGACCTTCGATCAGGTTTGGCACAAAGCGCTTATTTTGAAGCTCCCGTCCTATGGGCTACCCGAGAAATTGTGCGATTGAATCACCAG